CTTTCGACTAAACCATTCGATGCTGGATGGTAGGCGGTAGTGCGTATGCGTTCCGTACCAAGCAGCCTGGTCAGTGAGGAGAATAATGCGGACTCAAATTGTTGTCCTCGGTCAGTCGTGACAGTCGAGGGACAACCGTACAATGCTATCCATCGTTCTACGAAGCGGTGAGCAACTGTCTCCGCCGTGATAGACGTGATGGGAATAGCTTTGGGCCATCTTGTAAAACGGTCAATTCACGTGAGTATGTGATCATACCCATACGATGGTGGCAATGGTTCTACAATGTCTATATGAACGTGATCAAAGCGAGCATCAGGCGTAGCGAACGTGCCAATGGGGGCAGCTACGCGCCTGTGCACTTTTGATCGTTGACACTGTAAGCATTGCTTTACCCACATACAGACATCTTTATTCATGGACGGCCAGACGTATCGTGCAGCGATGAGACGTAATGTGGCTGCGATACCTGGATGAGACAATCCATGAAGGGCATCGAAGACGAGACGGCGATAGGCAGAGGGTACGATGGGTCGAGGAAGACCGGCAGAAGTATCACATAGGATAGTACCTGAACTAGTAGCTAGGGGTACTTCCTGACACTGAAGGGAAGAAGATTGTGGTGCTTCTGTACAGACAGGATCGTTTGCTTGCGCGGCGGCCATAGCAGGAAGATCTAGCACCGGTAAGGTAACTGCATTCGTCTGGATACGTGAAAGAGCATCGGCAACATAGTTCGACTCGCCTTTAATGTGACGAAGGTCCGTCGTGAACTGGGAGATATAGTCCAAATGTCTGCACTCTCGTGGTGAGTAGCGGTCAGACTTGGTATGCAGGGCATACGTTAAGGGCTTATGGTCGGTGAATAAGATGAATTGGCGTCCTTCTACTGCGTGCCGGAAATGTTTGATGGCGCAGTAGGCTGCAAGCAGCTCGCGACCAAAAGCGCTATATCTCGTCTCCGTGGGAGTAAGGCATCGTGAGAAAAATTCAAGCGCTTGCCAACTACCGGAGATATTCTGTTGCATAACGGCTCCTATAGCAAAATCTGATGCATCAACCGCTATACTAAGCGTGGCTGATGGGTCAGGATGAGCGAGGAGTGTAACTTCAGCGAGAGCCGTTTTGATCTCTGAGAATGCAGTACGTGCGGTATCGTTCAATTCTAATTTGCGTGGATTACCGCGAAGTAAATCGGTTAATGGTCATAACCGTTCTGCCGCGTGAGGGATGAAACGTCTGTAGAAGTTAACCAAACCGAGAAAAGCCTTCAGTTCCTTGATTGAGGACGGCACGTTGTACTCCTTGATTGCTCGAATTTTGTCCTCGCAAGGCAGAATACCCTCTTGTCTGATGATGTGACCCAGAAATATTATTTCTGATTTACCCAATTCAAATTTCTCTGGGTTGACTACTATTCTATTATCCGAAAGACGTTGGAATAATAGCGTAAGGTGCTGGTAATGTTCATCTAAGCTTGATGATGCGATCAGCAGGTCATCAATATAGACGTGAACAAAATCCAAGTCTCGTACTATGCCATCGATAAACCTTTGGAAAGTTTGAGCAGCATTCCGTAATCCAAATGACTTTCGTAGGAACTCAAACAGACCAAAAAAAGTCGTGATAGCAGTTTTATCGATGTCTTCAGGAGCGACTGGGATCTGGTGATATGCTCGTACCAGATCGATTTTAGAAAAGATAGTCGTGCCCGTGAGCGATGCCGTGATGTCGTGTATGTGGGGGATGGGGTAGCTATCAAAGCGCGTAACTACGTTTAATGCTCGGTAGTCGCCACATGGTCTCCAACTAACCCCATCCTTTTTGCGCACCACATCTAAAGGAGAGGCCCAAGGACTGTGAGAAGGACAAATAATACCAGCAGATAGTAAATTGTCAAACTCACGTTTAGCGAAGGCTTATTTGTCCGGTGCCAGTCGGCGTGGTCTTGCCGTGACTGGTGTTCCGCGGGTGACTATGTGGTGTACCACACGATTGGTCATCGATGAAATCTCCTCGAGTGGTTTAGTTAATCTGGGGAATTTCTCGAATAAAGCGTGGAATTTATCGTCACGCGAATAAAAAGTGCCGAGGATTCGGTACGCGTACATCGGAGTCTATTATATTAATACTATTCTTATCGTTATTCGTCATGTCGAGCTTGACTATGAACACCGCTACAAGACTACGTGCCAATAGACCAATAAGATTCCGGTAGGCCAAAAATCAGAAGGCAGATGTTTGCTGTAGTCGAGATGTATTTGTTGGCGATCTCGTGGTATCGAAAGAATACCGAGATCGTGCCAAAGGAGTACAGATGCGATCGGCAAGAAAAGATACGTGCATAGTCGAAAACCGCGTAGAAGCAATGGAATACAATGGAAGACCAAAATGGCTGTTATTAGCACAGTGAAACAAACGAGCACAATAAAACAATCACTGGTACAATTGGTTATAATAATTGTTTTCATCGAACCAATCGCGTTCTGTTGACAAAAGTAGGTCACTACAAAAGGAACAGTTCAGCATTCTTAACAGCTCCCTTTCCAAACCCGGTATGTTAATTCCTGAGATTAGTCGGTCTCTCAGTTGCACATGAAATTGATCACCAAAATCAGATTTGGAAGCTTGTTTCTGCAATTCAAGGGTGAATTCCTTAACCTTTTGGTCATTTTGACGAATCATCTTATGAAATTTCGTCCTTTCACGGCATTCAAATCTAGTGCACTTTACATGATATAATAATAGCTCTTTAAAAGTTGCACAAGGAAGTGAGATAGGCTTTTCTGGATATGCCAAAGTTTTTAATAAGCTGTATGCTTCTCTTCCGATGAATGTCAGGAAATGTGCCATAATCTTGTCATTTTTAATATCTTTCTTGATCATGCTCCAGATTTCAAACTTTTCCAAATAATCCTCAAAAGCTTCAGAAGTTGAATGAATATCTAACCGTTCCATCGCGACGCCAATATGATAATTAGAAGTATTCGAATTATGGTAAGAACTAATAATCCCAAAAATAACGTAATTGGATCAAGAACTACTAGATAAGCATGAACGAATGTACTGTATTTAGATTTCGAAATCAGGCATTCAACGAGTACAAAGGAGTCATTAATTCATTCAAACACCACAATATCGCCGGGTTAAACAGAACTCCACTTCATCGAGACTCGATCTCGATGTTGTTCATTTCAGAAGTCAGGAAGTACAATTCAACAAGCTAAAAAATTAGAGCAGTAGATTCTCACCGGACGATCGGTTGATGCTCTTGCAGCTGGAAGTATATCACTCCGTTAAAATTCTCGCTACTGGAAATTTAAGAACTTTCAAATAAGTGCTACTGTAGGAACAATAAACCATAGTCACGTCATTCAGTATTACCCAGCAAATTCTAATTTTAGAAAACTGATCAACACACTTATATAGCTCGTCTCAACCCCTCGAAGTCAGCTTTGCTTATTAAGAATCTAATTATTCCCGAAACTACACTAATAAGACACGATAAGATCCTCGTTAGGTGGCGGTGAAGTGGTCCTTAAGTTATAGAGATATGTAGCCGTTACACGAAGATATGTAAATTAAGCATTCACATAGTGGGTTGAGGCTAGTATTTGGGTGATATTACCATACTCAATACAATTCCTAGAAGCTGATCCCTCGAGTAGTTTTCACAAGATTAGCAGAAATCTTTAACCTAGGACTTTATACTCATTAACTGAATTTATCAATTACAACCATAATTTTCTAATGATTTAATGAAATTGATGCTCTAAACTCTTGATTCCACTAATCGCTTAAATGAAGCCTGTATTCTGATAAAAGCTTTTACCAATATTTATCATTAAGTGACCAATCATTGGTGAGTGAATTTTATCGCATTGTTTGTATCAAATCTGACCTAAATTGAGTGTTAATTATGCGGGCTTTATAATCAATTAAAATAATTAACTGACGTTTTTGAAGTTGACTTCGTACGGAACACTAACTAGTTTTTCATAAGTAAATAACCTTGTGATTAAAAAATGATTTTTAGCAGCTATAAAGTCATAATGATTATTTAATTTTGATAGGATACTTATGTCGTTTGAAGATGGTATTCACCAGTAACCTGTTTATATATTTTTTGAAACTTTATAATGTGACTGATGACTTAATTCATGATCCGAGTTCTGTTCAATAAAGAGAATACTGTGTACTATATGGAACAGAGTAAATGAATCAAAGACTACCACACCAATTGTTAAAAGCATTTAATCATTAGCTTTCAACCCCCAATAACTTATTACACTTATTTTTTAAGAAGTGGAAATATTAGGTGGTTAGTAAAGATTGACAGGAGACTCTGAACCTAGGCTTCGTGCTAATTCATACTCATGAACACAATGCGAAACTACCATATCGATTGGACACATATATCTTGCGGGAATCGAATCCACGTTTTACTATTGAAACGTTAAAGTCGATAATATCCTGGCACAAGACTAAGATATTTACCACTGAGTATTATTTTTTTAATTTTAATTATTATTAGCTTTATTCAATATTATATTTTTGAAACAATATAGAGATCTCAGCGCAAAGTATTTCAACAAGTTTTCGTTTCTTATTTCTTGATAGATCCTGACGATAAATATTAAGTGATCGCCAATTAGATATTATCAGTTCAGGAATCAACATCTGAATAATGTACGTTCTTTTCTATGTATATTGCCAGCAACTACAATATCTCTGATTGTTCTCTTTCTTAACTTATACAGCGAAAGGTCGTGAACTTTTCACAAACGCACCTGAATAGGTTGTGCAATTAATTGGCATAATGATCTGTTGAAACAAACAAAAGACAGATAACTTGTTGAAATATCTAGATGACTGGAACAGGTAGCCCAGATATTCAAGCAGTTCGCCTATGTAAGTGACAGACGATGCTACATTTACTTAGTTCGTAGGACTTTATGATAAGTAGTTAACATGAAAAATCAACGTAAGGAAAACACCAATTAGAAGTTATCAGAAAAATTTATTTAAACAATAGATTTGTTCCAAAGAAAACAGGACATTTCTCAATTTATGTATATATATCACAACAACTAACACAGAAAAATGAATCAAATTGATAAACAATGCGACAAAATGAATAATTCTTTTTTTCTTTTAAATGCAAAAAAAAAACTACTGGAAATAAACGAACTACATAAAATCAACATGAATATACAAATAAAGATATATCACAGTTCATTAATGATTGTTTGAATGCAAACTATTGAAATCCAATATAATTTAATGAGTAAACAATAACAAACAACAGCCATAAATAATCTGTACAAACAGTAATAATAAAAATGTAGGGATATTCTTACATGAATATTATAATTCAATAATCAAACTGAAGCTTTGTTAATGCTATCAGGGTCTTATTCTAATAATAGATTTCATTTAATCCAATGGATTGTGATCGTTAACCGATAGTGTAAATTTTACAGATTTGGAAGAGTTGAAAACTGTAAAGTAATGGTTGGAAGGTGAACGCTTTAAATACACCACATCATAGCACACGTACACAAACATGCATACACAATGAATGATTTAGTTAAAAACAACGAAAAATAGGCGGGGAATTCTAAATGAAGGTATAAAAAAAACCTATATGAAGTCTGAATGACAAAATCCAATGGTGTGTGTGCAAAAAGGAAGCATCTTCATGATTTTCACTGGTTTATTTAAATGTAAACACGAAACGAATTAATCATAGAAATATGCTGCTGATTCGGATACACGAATTGTTCACATATACACAGGTATGTTACATCATTATCATTGTTATTACATACGTTGGGAGAATAAAAATGTCTTTGTTTCAGTATCTGATCTGTAAGAGAAAAGTGGAAACGAGGAAGCATATAAGATAGATTTATTTCTCAACAAATATGTGAAGTATATTAAATAGAAAAATATGGAATTTTTCGACATGATTTCAAACGGAACAGGAAAAATAGTGATTACGATAAGGTATTATATAGAATTAATCAAATTACTGCTTTAACAAATAGGTGATCCAGTTAAACATCAATTTCGTGGACTGTTGGTCGATGCAGTGGAGAGTTTTATTCTTCAGATTACCATATATGTTATTATGTAGTCTGATTAATTGTATAGGGGAATCTATTTTACTACTGAAACAATTCACCACAAATCAGCCAATCATTTTTAAGCTGGTCAAAAAAGTTTATAAAGAGTTGTTATTTCACTAATTATTAATAATACTTTTCAGTTACAAAACAGGCGTTGTTTTATAGTATTCGTGAGGTCAAGTGATGTATAAGGTACTGGAGACGGAAGGGGGCACGATAACAATTGTATTTTTTGACAATCCGATTACATCGTTATTATTGTACTAAATCAGTGGGCTATATCATGTTCAGACTGAAACTTTTCAACAAGTGATATATTATATGCATTTGCAGTATTGCTAAATTGCATGATTCAGTTTAACTTGGCAGTTAGTACCCAGAAACAGTATGAAGGGAAGTGGAATATAATTTGCACGTTATTGAAAAGACAATTTACAGAAATATTCTGCTCTATGTATATGAATTTAAAAGTGATAACAAGTGAAAAAGAGCCATCTTTGATTATTATTATTATTATTACTATTATTATTATTATTATTATTATTATTATTATTATTATCACATACAGAATCGCTTAATTTCTATTGTTATGTATTTGACAATGGGACTATGGTTTGTTAGTACGAATTTCCAACTTTCAACTAATAGAACATGGACTTGAATATCGATCGGTAATTGCATGTAATGAATCTTGCAACAGATACGCTCAAACTGTCTTCCTACCCAGTTACTATAACTTCAACTACTTCCACACGTCAACTGGAACAACAGAGAGAAGTCGTGAAATGAGAGTTAAGGTTTTACTCCAAGTTTAGCTCATACACAGAGAAAACAGGGGTATTTAGTTATACACGACCTTGGGCATTAGAAAATCCCTGAAACCATACTAAATAAAGTAGCGGTATACGTAAATATCTGATCAAAACCATGATACGTGATTCTGAATTTTTTAGACGTCTTCGAGAAGATTCTATTTAACGCTGATCGGACAAAACGTTTCTTAGCATTTCCAAGCCTCTAGAGACTTTTTCGAAGGATATTTTGGGACTTTTCCAATAGTACAGTACTGTTAGCTTTTGTAACATGAATGCCTCGACAATAAGTCAACACAAAAAGTTAATGATAGTTATCGATTCAGAATAGACGAATTTTCAGTCATGATGATTATGATGATAGAAGGTGAATTGTAACCTAACTTTTGGGGTGAACATTTTCCCAAACACTTTTATCAAGTTTTGCAGTCTATGTACCAAAGACTGTTAAAACCAACTACCTTTAAGGTAGATGATTGACTGGGTACGGTAGATTAAATTTAATTTGTAAGGGTTTGGACCATCTCTTTGTTGATAGTATAACTAAATTCTGATCAGTCTTAATTGGAATATGTGCATTCTGTATGAATTAATATAACCACGTCAGAATTTTAGATAGACATAGATAATATGTGTCTAGCAGTGGAAACCAGGACACTTGTTTCGTCCCATTTGAGACTCGTCACCTGGATGTATTTGCATCCTGGAATTGATATTCAATCTGGAATTCGAACCCAATATCTTTTACTCCAAACGCCCAAAGTTTTCCCCACATGACTACAATTTCAGAAAACCACTCACTTGTGCGACGAGTAAGAATTTTAATCCAAATAGTATTGGACTGGATTACTACTTTGTTGATAACACGGTGGAGTCTGTAACGAAAAGTGCTTGGTTTGAATACGACAGTTAACAACGACGCTAAAATTCAGGTACACGCAGCTGACAAGTCTCAAGTAGAACAAAACGAGTGTCCAAGATTCTACTACTAGCCACTTTCTATCTACACAAATATAGAATAAAGTTTTATTTTCTACATTAAAAACTCACTCATAAATTACATCTTCGTCAGAATCATTTATCATTGATAATGATGGATCATCTTTTACATCCATTTCTATAATTAGAAGAAAAAAGTAAATTTATCAACATTTTTGTAAAATTGTACTTAATTTCAAAAATAATAAACATCTATAAAACCGTCATAGATCTTTACAATTAGACTATTCGTGAACTGTTCAGAACAAATTACTGTATGGTATACATTATCCATTAGTCATAAGCACCGTAGAACCTAACAGAAATGTGCATCAATTCAAGTTCACATATCACATTAGCACAATGAAATAAAATCATTTCTTGACAAATCTCAGAGCATATATTATATACTTTACTTCGTTAACAATGTCACCTAGTATTATACGTCTTTTTTCTTGTGTCAATTGTTTATTTGACATGAATACGGACAGATCAACTCCTATAAACTAATATATGACAGAGAGTGAAGGTGGCTAAGCAGAATTTATGGACACGGCTATAGAACAGATGATCAGTTAATGGAGAAAAAGATATATTGAGTTTTAAAATTGGATGATGGTTCAAGGGTATCTTAAAGAATCAAACTATAATTTATTTACCGGTCAATATATCAGAACTGAAATATAATTCAAGCTTAGTCATACAGAATAGGTTTATGTTGTTTTATGTGTTGAAGCATCTATTCTGTATGTAATGACAGAGATAATTAGCAATACTAAGATTTCTTTTAATTAATTGTATAACGATGGGAAACTGAGATATATGGTCGAATTGTCTAGCTTCTTGTGGCGAATGTTTGCTGGAGAGTGTTAAATGAATAATCTAATAGTTTGTATCTAGTCAGAATAGTAATGCTACAAACTTACAGTATAGTATGTGACATAAGTGTTTCACTGGAAGATAATTAGCAAGTAGCTAGTGTAAAAATGTATCATATCGAGGTTGTGGATAGTCAACCTAGTTATAAAAAGCCGACGGTAATATATCACTTCCCGACCATATAAATACTACTGCATACTATACAGAAAACAATAGTGTGGAAAAGATGTTGACATAAAAAAAGTTCAATTATAGTTCGGAACAATGTTACAAACCGGAGTGATCACTTAACAACAATACTTTTTGGCATTAGGTTGACCATTTAAGAATATATTAGTTATACTCCAGTTCGTCCATAAAATAATTTTAGACGAACTAGTGTAGTGTAGAGGATGGAACCTTGAATAACAATAATGCATTCGCAAGTCACCTGATACAATTTGTATGACAGCTTAAGCTAATATCCTTCTGTGTACGAAGACCCATCACAAAAATGTCAGTAAGTATTTAGAACATTGAAGGTTCATTTTACTCGTGTTGATTTAGTCTTCAAACAGTTACAACCAAAATGTAAAAGATCATTTACAGTAATTGACTGTACCGTAAAAATATTCATTCTAGACATAAACTGAAAGGAAGAAACACTTTTTACTGATCATCGTAAACCATCTTTAGTTGATGTCCAGAAAGACAACAAACCAGTAAAGATATATGATGAACTTTCACAAGTTGTCTAATCTTGAACGCATCACTTTATTTTTTTTATTTTTAACACAGATATCGGTACAAGAAGGCACCAAATACATATGCGCCACACAGATCTCATTGGATATGTGTGAGGGCTGTGATACTGCCCGGGTGCCCAAACCGAAGCAGGTGGTTTTCTTAGGGGACCACACCCTGAGCCTTCGACCTGAAGATCTGATCCACAAGGCAGTGGAGCATCGTGAGGAGATGCAGTCCCATGGTAGCCGGTGACCAACGATTGGTTCATACGCCATTTGTTCCCGCAGGATACTGGAGCCCATGTGCACCATTGGTTTGGGATCCGGTTAAAGCGCCGGACATTCGCTTTTCGTCCTCTCATTTTCGTAAACAACACCCCCGCCACGAGAAGGCAGTGAGTAGGACTTCCCTGGCAGGGGCTGTATACGCGTGGCCATGTGAGAGCATTTCGAGAGGGGGAGCGGACTCTCCCCACTCTCGGCCATACCAGGGCATTTGGGGGCGAACGCATCACTATCTGAACCCGATAACTAAAATCCATTAATTATTATCTGTACTTCCAGTACTTCAATAATTTTCCTCGTTTTGCACACATCTGTAATCTCATCAATTGGTATATATATATATATATATATATATATTCATTTCATCGTAAGGTTTCATTTGACCTATTAAGTTCGACTATACAATTTACTTCTCCTAATTACAGTCTCCCATACTCACAGCCATGTTTGACTTGATATTTAGTTGTTATTTTCTATTTTATGGTGTGATGTGATCGGATATATATTTGTATATAAACTACGTATTTCTGAATATATGATTCATATAATGGAGGCTGATATTTGCATTCTGAACTACACGGGTTCGGGTAAGCGTGAAGCTACTATATTGAAGACCAATAAGGATTCAGAATAGACTCAAGGCTGCTAGTGCTGTTTGACGTATAATTGGTTTAGCACAAGGACAAGATCATAGAAGTCAGAATTGTGATTGGTGATCTAGTCACTTGATATTTGACAGGCCATAGGACATAACAATTAAAACAATAAAATCTTTTTAATTAGACCATCCAGTTAACAGAAAACAAAACACCTTGAAGTCCTATTGTACTATGGAGATTGGTTGAAGAGCACAGTAAGACTAAAAGTAGCAAACTCATAGTCTGAAAATGAAGTGGTCCTGCTAGTTGTACTATTTACTACATTATCTCAATCCCTTTGCTGTTCATCTAGTTCACTTTATTTTGTTGTGGTAATTGTGATGTGGGAATTTCGGTCAACATTAATTTTTACTAGGCACTAAGTTGATCATCACTATCTGACTGACTTATACAACATGAAAAACATCAATTTGAACTATGAATCTCTTTTATCCCTTCCTTCATAATATATTTTTACAATGAAGCATAATGAAATTACCAATATGTACACATATTTTCAGTCAATAAACCAATCTTACCTATTTGTGTATTATTTGGTGGAGAGTAAACAAATGCCAATAGAGTTATGTATGAATTAATAGTGAATTGTATCAATGAGAATTCAAGTGTTGAATGATAACCGAGTATATCATTAAATCGATGTTGTAATCCTATGTAATTTTGAAAATTCTGCTGTTGTGCACTCATTTTACTGATATCATCCTTAACATTACGGACATAATTCATGGATTGAGATGATAATCTCTCATTAAAGTGTAATAAACATGCAAATCCTAAGACGATAATGAAGATTATTGATTGGAATGTTAGAAAATATAAACGCAAGTCTAAAATGGAAATTAACAATAAAAAAACTTATGAGGACATCATAAATATTTTCCGTATTTAAATAAATTATGTAATACTATGTTACAAAATAAACCAACATGTCGCTAAAATTAATAATGAAGCTAATATTACTTATGACACATTGTTTGTGTCAGGACTAATGATACTAACTGATTGTTCAAACAGAAGGGGGGTGCACGACTTTTTACTTAAAGTCCCACCATAACAAGCAAGAAGGTTGAATAACGATTGTGAATATTACTGATGATTACTACATGCATGAATAAAGCAATGTATAAGTAGACCAGAGTATATGGAATATCTAACTGGTGATGACTAAACTTCAAAAATAATTCATCTATAAAGTATCGGATTCAATCGTAGAACAAGTTCTACACATACAAATGTATAAAACTCTAATTTATTTTGTAAAGCTTTGAATAATCCCGTTGTTAATAGTTCTGATTGAATTTTGACCAGTCTTAGTTGACATATGAGCGTCCTGTGAGGATCGCCTCTCTGTAGCTCTTTTCATAAGTTTTTTATAGAATAGATGAATTATAGCTAGTAAAAGAATTCGGGTCAGTCAGTCGGGTCATACATTTCGTTTTATCAGGGACTTGTCAGCTGGATGTATCTACATTCCAGCGTTGATATAGCAAAAGAAAGTTCAGGCAATCTTGGTTTTGTTATTACGCGTCAGCTATTGCTTTAAAGGATAAACTCGATGACCATTTTCTAAATTATATCACCGGAATGCCTTTTGATGATATATAACTGGTCGTCATCATTTCAAGTACCCCGATTTTGTCATGCGTCCCGAGGACATTATATTTGAAAATATGAACAGAATTGATTGATCTCACTTTCTGATTTCTGTTCACAGTATGAAGCTACCTGAAAACCTCAACTTCTCAGTCTCATATTAGCGTGCAGATTATAATTGTTGAAGCATTGTTGTATATTAGTCACCATTCTATTAAGTGTTCTATAAAACCTGTTCAAATAAGAATATTCTCGATCGTTCTGTAAGTAGCTATTACAGCAGAGCCGTGACGAACTTCAATCTCAAGATGCGGCTGCTGCTCACACGTGGACTCAAACGTAGTACCTTTCACTTAAAATTACTAGCGGGTTATCGGCTGAGCTATTGAGTCCAGATAGCCACTGACATGTGCAACGAGTATGAACATTTATATTTATAAGTGTTTATACAAATTATTTGTAACATTCCAAACCCTTACTGATCAAATTAAATTCATATCCATCTTAAAAATGAGTGGCTTTTTGAACTCAGTAGCTTAATAGATAATGCGCTAAGCATTTGAAGTGAAATGTACTAGGATCCAGCCCCGTTATGAACATCAACACTGAGATATGGCAGGTATATTCTGTTGACGAGCTCCGCCTAGAATAAAAACCAACATACTGGATTCGACTGATAGCCATAATCCATCTATATACTGTAAAAGCGCACAAAATAATTCAAAGAAAACCTGGTAGAAAGATAAATACATAAAAAGTATCAATTACTTACTAAAATATGGTAATTTTCTTAATTTATGACAGGCTCGAATGAACAGCACAGTGAATAGTACCACATAGATAAAACCAAATAGACTAATAAAAACCACAGTAAACTAAAACAATGGAAGGATAAGAAAAACAAGCACCTTAATTGTTTCGAGAGAGGGAAAGAGAGTGTGTGAAAAGAAAAACAACTATTTTCCAAATTTGTTTATTCTCACTGTAAAAATAACCATTCATTAAAGATCAGGAGTGAGCAAATCCTTTTCTGTGTTGAATTTCCCGCAATGGTCAGAAGAAATTAACCAATAGGAGAACACCTATTTATGAAGACTGATACAATCACATTAAGCTACTCAGGCGACAATCCAATGGTGTATGCTTCTAGCTTTATTCGATTATTTTAATATAGTGTAGTTCTTAACTAAAGTTATTGACGAAATAATCCATTCGCTTTCCACTCGTTGAACGATTCCAATAGAATTATGGCTTCCTACAACAATCTTGACGAAAATTCAACCCAAAGATAGTCTGATTATTAACTACACGATTATTGCTTAATTACCCATTTTTTCTGGAGTGGTTTTTACAGTTGTAAGATAGTTTACATCACAGTCTAACACTAACTGGAATAGCATTGCTCATTATGAGGCCTGAAAGTCTTGAACTCAAACGGATATGAGGAGATTGTGAGTGTGCACTGTTGAAGAGTCACAGACTAGGGCGAAACAACCATTCAGTACTTTCTTGTCGTTACTTATTCTCCAGCTGAAGTTAATTTTAGGACAAAAATGTCCATTTGTAGGAAGTTTTATCAAAGCTAAATATGTCTACACATCATTTTGATGTGGATTAAAAAAAACACAAAATCTAATTATTAAAAATACTTGTTCAATTGATATCATCATCTAGAAATACTGGCTTCGGTAGCTTAGATTTGTTTTATGAATGTCGTCATGGGGACTTCTGCATGGCGCATTATTTGCTGAGGTTGGAATCGGGTGAAAAAATCAGGAAGGTGGTTAGTTTATGATGTCGCTATGGTATAGATGAAAGTTATATACGACCGGCATCCATCGATCCACTATGGCACTTTGCTTAAGATCCTGAAGATGGTGCACAACTCAGTGGCATCAGACGTTATCAAAAAAAGGGACAAATGGTAATTCCACTGAGATTTCATATCACATTTAAAAAACCCAGAGGAATTCTCTCAAATGTACTTGTTGATCATATTTTTTATATCTAAGCTGTATCTCCTATTAAACACTATTCTTATTCACCTATATTTTGCTTATACTTCACTTCCCATCCTAAATTCTTTTTGGTGTTATCTCTTTAGTTGCGCAGTGTACATCATTTTTGGTATTCAGTTGTACCAGATTTTATGTGTATTAAACAGATTAATGAATAAGTCTTAGTGATTACCGTGATAGATATCATGGTAATATATATAATCGAAATAAATTATTCAAGTATTAATTTATACGGAAAAATGACTTACGATAAGAAGATCCGTATATTCTAGAATATCAAACACTGGTTCGTGATGTTCCACATAAACTTTCCAAGTAATTAATAAGAATATAATTAACCAAAATATGCTAATCAAACAGATTTTCGGTAGATAAAACTTCTGAAACGTTCTTTTCGACTGTATACATATATATGCAAGAAGAAACAAATGTTGATAAGTTGAGAGAAGAAATTCAAATAAAAAAGTCAACAAGAATACAGCCTTAATAAAATAAGCAGTGTATTTTTTTATGAGATGATGCTTATCAAAGTTAAAGGGGAATTTTTGAGGCGATAGACAATTTGTACTACCTTACCTTTCATCATGAATTCAATACTTATACGTTTGCTAAGTGGATAGATATAGTCGGCAGGTAATCTTGATAGACTTAGGTTTCGTGCTAGTTGGCACTTGTTAACAAGGTATATCTGATAATTCCTGTGCGATTCGAATCCTCACAACCCAGCTCTACAGTGTGAGATGTTATTACTGAATTATTCAGCTAGTGACTGAAGTCCTATAGGGCTGAAACATTTACAATTGGTTGGTCATTAAGTGGTGATTACTATCATGTCTTTCTACTCTTTTAGTCCTGACCAAATTCTATTGATGTTTATATGTCATTAAAGAACGTAAATGTTTTCCATATACACAACCAGATTATCGTAATTTAATCACTAAGCTTTTTATAGGTGACTACTGTATAAATGAGAAATATATGTATACATATTTCAACATAACTTCATTACTTATGGAATGACCTGGTGTAAAAATTAAATATGTTTGGTAAACACATCAGCTGCTATTGAATTGATGATTTAAAAATTTTCATTTTATATTCAATAGTAGTGTACTAATCAAAATTATCGTAAAGAAATAAAATTCATTATATAAGATCATTTTAGACAGTCCCATTATTGAGTCAGCCAGTGATAATTAACATACAGCCTGGCACATATATACGTTAGCGAAAGTTTTTGTACCACATTAGTACGATGAGACGAATTTACAAAGATGAATAACAAAGGAGTTGAACTAATGTGATGCTAGTGGTAATCAAAACGACTCAACATTGAAGTATATGATTCCATAAGACTAAGTGAAGAGGTACATATGAAGAAATACTGGGACTAAAAATAAAGAATAAGGTAAATGACTCGGTACTATTTTGACCACCGGTTATCAAGGGTGATAGCTTAGTGGTTAAATCCCTTGTCAAGGTACGAACACGGTCTCGGTTACCTTGGTTAGAATAACTGAGAGGTGAGGGAGAAGCATCAGTAGTCCTCGTACACAATAAAGTGTGGCTCAAAACGGCATACAGAAGCCTGTAATCGCTAAGTAATTTAGTTATTATTCTCAATTCGATCGATCAGTCAGACAATACACATTTATGAAGAAATCCGATTATTCTATATATTAATTACGTATTTGGAGTTATAAAAATTAAACATATATATTATGGGGAATTCTAAGTAAACATACCGCCGCTTAATTAATCATAAGCAATCTACCAGTTTAGCTGTATCTTAATTGTATAGTTGAGGTGGATTATAATTACATGTTCGAATAGTAACTATTTGTTCGTAGATTCTCATCCTACTACCTGTAATCCTTCTTCAGTTTAGATAGTTGAGGAACGATAGCATTCTACCTTACATATGATACAAGTGTGATTTAAAGTGTAATCAAACACATGAATCTAAATTCAACTGATGGTTTGTTTCAGCCAAATTCTAAAATCTGAAAAATACGCTCCAATATTTCGTTTATCTGATTCTGATTTTTATTAATGCTAGACAACTGGATAAGCTAATACACAGTATGTTTGGTAAGTATTTAAACTGAGCGCTGCCAAGAATACCAGAGTTACATAGACAATTACAATGTAATCAAACGCTTAGTTTGACCTCGGTAGTTTGTCTCTATGAAATTACTAGTCAATGAGTAGTTGCTGTATGAAAGGATATTCATGAATTTCTGACGTGTAACTCAATGATCACCACAAAATGGATCTTCCTACATAGTCACAAGAATCAAAAACAAAATGACATTTTCTAGTTCTTGAAATGCGAAATTACCATTCATGGGAGGCATGAGGCAACCAGTGGTAACTAAAGTAATCGACTACCGAAGACTTTCAGAGGTGTTTTAAGCAATCAAGACGGAGATCGTACAAGTATGCTGACACAAATTATGAGTATTTTGAAAAGAAAAAGACCGATTCATCCTAAATTTTACGAAATAAAGTTCCTAACTTTAGTTCATGTATTTATTGGATAGAGGGACTAGTGCACACTGAAAGATTTAACAAAATAAATTCAGTTATGAAAAACAGTAACACAATTAGATTTTTACTTACAATTCGTATACCATGGAATATACATAACCAAACTAATAATAATACAGCGACAAATGTGGTTTGAAACAGATAGCCAAGACATGATGGAAACCAATTTATTGTTAAATATTGAAGTGGATATAAAGGATCTACATAATTTATAAAATGAAATTCTTTACTGAAACTTCTTTAACGAATTTATTTTCTGTACATCATGATATAATAGGATTAAACAAATTTTTAAGCATGAAAAACATTTGCCATACAATACAATGTGATGAAAAAAACAAACAGACTTCTTGTGTGACTTTTAGCGAGAGTGTGACCGGACCGTAATACTGGAAAAAAGTGGTATTGACCTAGTCCGAGTACTGATTAATTCGCCTAGAGTTTCAAGACCAGTGCTTATAACCTTCGGTTAATTAATGTCACAAAGATAATGAGATAACAGTCAAGAATAACGCTTAACGAAAGCAGTTCCTTCACGCTTGTACACCCAATAGCAAGATAGAACACGCACAACAAGTAGGAATTTCTAATTATTAAGTTCAGTTCATGACTCGATTCATACAACAATATAGAGTAAACTCTTGAGCACATATAAATACAATAAAGAAATTACTGTCAGTATAACTACGCCATAGGTGAAAGCTAAGTAGTAGGTGTGTAATCAATTAACAATAACTTAAGAAAGGCACAACATACAATTACAGCTTATGCATTAAAAAAACGCGTACAAACAGGAGAATAAAAAATTACAATAACGTTGATATTTCATTACTGAAGAATAGAAATATAAACAATGACTTCAGTTAGTAGTACAGTACCGGAAGTTCAATGTTGCTTATTATTTACTCAGTTATGACAAGGATGTGAACATCTTTAAATATGAATGGTACGATTAAATTATCATTTTCGATTTATATACTTTTACCAAATATTGGTGGGTATTTTTTGTTAAGAATTCTTAATAAGAATAAGAGTGGTTAGTGTGAAGTATGTGTAATATGACTAAAATTAAAGAACAAATGAAAATCAGGAAGAAAAATGTATATTTTTATAAAGTTGCAGCTAGTCCATTACCTATCTCATCATATTCAACCAGTTATTAAATTAATAGGTAACATGAATGAGGTTAACATTAATTGCACGGCCATTTTTTTATTTCACTCGAAAAAAAGTATAAAAAATGGCCGTGCAATTAATGTTAACCCATGGCTGATAGTGATATTACTTCTATTACCATGATATTTATTTTTATAATTTCATCTCCTTGGATTGATACGGTGTAATAACTTGGATCGATGAACATATATGTTACTTATGACTGACTAACACGTTACATAGGCCACACAAATCGATCACTTTCCAAAGGCATCTCAGAACACTATCCGGCTTGGCTCTTAAAACGAGAATGTAAGACAACCACTAGTTCTATACAGGAGCATTTAATTAACTGTGAACACATCGCTCCAAAGGATTCCTCTTTTAAAGTAATTTACAGAGTCAAAGGAACTGCATCGAAGGGGGTCGAATCAATAGTTTACGCACTGCTAAGGCATTAGCAATCCACGAACTCAAGTCTGAACTTTGTGTGCAGAAACGATTCATCCAACCTTGGTCCTAATTGCCTTAATGGGTTTGTTTCTGGTTTTTCTTCTTTTTTTCTCTGTACTTATATTTGATTATTATTGAATTTTTTAAATTATTGTTTTGCAATTTTAAACTCCAATCAGTTATTATTATTACCTTCGTGTTTGTCGTTTTTCTTCATATATGTCAATCTGACCAACAAATTATTTTCTTCCTTACCCATTGATTAGTACGTAATCTCATTTGTTATTTAGTCTCGAATTAATTTATTACGCAATCTTTTCTATCTTCCTATAAACATATATTTTCCATATATCTATATATAGGAATGTACAGATTAAGTAAACGATTTCGTCGAAAAGAAAATTTTCGCTGAATTCTCTTTTTCTTATTGAATTGACTTTCACCATTCTCTTAGTCACTACTTTATTATAATGCATTAGAATCTAGTGAACAGGTTACTTTAACTTTAAGTGTAATAGTAGTAGCAATAGTGTAATGGACGAAGGACATGGGTAGGGTAGGCCAATTTATTGTATTAAGCAAAATCACACACTATTTTGAAAATATGAAAACAATACATTGAATACACCATTTGTTCATCTTCCTTGAATAGTCTCTTACAAACTTCATCGCTCTTCTATTCCTGTTACTTCTCTTCATTTTCCTATTCTGTCGGTAACGTTCCTACTTCCAATTCCTGATACATACTTATATCTGTCCGTATAAGTAGTACACATTGCGGTAGTAATATAAAATCAGTGTATACCAGTGAATTTACAATAATTCATACACTAATTTAAAACTATTAGATAGCTTTTCCTTTATTCTTAGGTTTACATTTTATTTAATGATTTTATACTTACTATTATAAAGTATGAGTAGAGGCAATAAGATAGCCATACAACATTGTTCAATTGTCCAATAATTAAGACTGAATTTTTTCATCTTAATATAAAACCAAATCTAATAACAACAAATAGAAAAAGAAATTTGTAAAGAAAAGTAAAGTTAACACTTATTCACAATAACTTAATAAACGTATTAAATTAAATCTCAAAAGAAAAAAATGAAGACAATATCAGTTTAAGAGTAAATTAACTGGAAAATATAACCGGTAAAACTATAATTGTAACTAAGAAAGGCACCAATCAAAATTGAGAGAAATTCTTTTAACTTTTAATGTGAAATTCAAAGTATGAATGAATTTTATGCACATTGATGTGACCTAAAGCGGAAGTTTGTCTTTAACACATCTCAGAATGATAGGTCGCCTAGAGAAAACAATTCGAAGCATAGCTGCGTAAAATGTTTTATTCAACGCTTTTGAAATCCGTTTATTTAGGATTTCAACAGCCGTAAATTTTACCACTGTATTACATGAAAAAATATATTGACAATAGAAATAAATTTGTATAGTGTTTACAACGTTTGAAATTGTTAGAAATAAACTTTTGTTCTTTTTCATGATAATGTTCACTATATCAAGTGTTCAGTTTTTTTATTGAATAACCGATGAGTTATTAGAGTAAGAATATTAAGATAGATAACACTTTTATTAAGTACGACTTCACAAAAATACAGTGACAGTGGTGATTCGCCTATAATTTGATCTTTGGAATTAAACAGAGAATTTATTGACAGACATTTTGTTATTTATTTATTTTATTTAGCGCATAAATATTGGTACAAGGAGGCACCAAATACATATGCGCCACACGAATCTCAATTGGTTTGTGTGAGGGCTGTGATACTGCTCGGGTGCCCAAACCGAAGCAGGTGGTTTTCTTAGGGGGCCACACCCTGGGCCTTCAACCTGAACGTCTGACCCACAAGGCAATGGAGCATCGTAAGGAGATGCAGTCCCATGGTAGCCGGTGACCAACGATTGGTTCATACGCCATTTGTCCCTTCAGGATACTGGAGCCCATGTGCACCATTGGTTTGGGATCCGGTTAAAGCGCCGGACATTCGCTTTTCGTCCTCTCATTTTCGTAAACAACACCCCCGCCACGAGAAGGCAGTGAGTAGGACTTCGCTGGCAGAGGCTATATACGCGTGGCCATGTGAGAGCATTTTGTACATTTTGTAGGTGATAATGACTAAGGAAGATTTGGAAGTTATCAGTGTTAATATATTATTGATATTATGTAGCAATATTTTTTAAAATATTAATATTGGAAAACTGATAACAACCCTTGTAAATTTCGATAATATAATAAGAAGACGGAGATTATCAGAACTATGTGATATATTAGCGCAATACATTTCTAACAATCTGATCACACATATACTTGTTAAGAGCATTTATATATAAAAATAAAAGATCAACTAGACTGGAAATGAGGTAAGAGGAGATAATAATAATAATAATAATAATAATAATAATAATAATAATCTGAACACTATTCAAAACCTAATCACTCTGGATAATAAGTCAATATTACCAGGGTAGGTTTAAGGTAAGAACAAACTGTTTTTGAATATACATTATCGAAATTTATAAAAAGGACTAATTGCTTTAAACCCTTGTAAAACTAATAACCTTCCTAAAATCGTTAAACTCTAACAGGTTATGTTAGTTCTGTTGAGAAATATTTTTGATTTACACAAAATCTCTGCAAATTAGCTTCAACATCACGTGATCATCCGGAAAATTGATCAAGCTTGTTTCTATACTTATGTTTTTTTTTACCGTGGAATCAAATCTTTGCATAGATAAGAATTGATTTTGTGATGTATTATTGAAGGTATTTAAATGCTAATATTTTGATCAACCTACAGATATTACTTTAAAAAATTCATATTTTTTACTCCACTTGATTTACTAGTCAGAGATTGCATAAAATAATTCTATTGTTATACATGATTAACCCTTAAGTTTTTTTATTAACTGAATTCATACATATTTATGTAATACAAAACCCAATTAGCGTAAATTATGTACATTCTCAACGGATTTATTCTCTATGCCTCAAATAGGTTACTTGGTAGTTAAACGTTACGTAATAAAATCTTCGAAGATACTTAAGGAAAAATATATGAGTTACGTATGTCTCTAAAATATTTAATGGCCTCATCTTACAGTTGTGGAGCATCATGAAGTGAACTACTATGAAAAGTATTCACCTTTGGATAAATAGTCGGATAAAATACACTTGGTACATAAATTGTATAAGTTTGTCAAGTCAGATGAACGTGGTAAATTTATGTTGGCATTTAGTCAACGGCAAGCTAATCGAAGACCACTAAAATTTGTAAATAATCAAAATGACCTAAATATTCAATCACTTCACTATTTCAAAACTAAATGATGAAGAGGTTGAAAATTTTGAAGTTTGAAAGTGAAATTCATATTGTATTTCTTATAGTAATGAAAAACAAATGAAATACAATAACTACATAGGAAGCATTATGTAGACCACACCTACTATATGAAAGTCAATGATAATATCAGATATAAAAACTGAAATAGAGAAATTTTTTTTAATTTTCTCAAACTAACTGGAAATCGGGTATTTGTGACAAAAACGCTAACCATGTACACATTAGTGACTAGAGAGTGGTTTAACTTATTTACCGCGTACATGTTTATGTACTTGGTTGTGAGCTACACTGTTTGTGTGAGGACTAACGATACTACCCAGTTGCACAAACTAAAGTAGTTGAAACTGGGATTGAGCTTGCGACCTAATGGTTGAAGTGCATAAATCAAGTCACAACTTCATAACTATTGGCTAACTTGTACATGTATCCGCAAAGTTCTAGTGAGAATATATAACTACTGAACTCCAACTAGTTTGAAAGTGAAATAGTTACTCCTTATTGGTTTTAGATATGCAAATGAAAGTTAATAAAAGATCATAATCGTAGAGAAATTCCGATGAGATAGTCTAAACGCAAAGCACTCATTGTGATTTTTATCAACATCATGATTCGCCATCAAAAATCAATAAATACATATCAACGTAGGTCTGTGTAGATTGCCGAATTTTATAGTGTAAAATACGAACTGGCCTTAGTCAGACAAACATTGAAAACTGGGAATCACTGGACAGCTGCTTTTCTCTGGTATCCACGAAATCATTAACTGATTGAGCATAAAAATTCAAACCATTCGATCCTGAATTAGTAGTCCGAAGGTTGGGCGCCTGCCGTGAGATCTGAGGGTCCTGGATTCAATCCTTAATGGGGTTATGGATGAGCAATGCTGAGGAGTTTCGTATTAGGACAAAACGGCTGCTCAGTATTTCCTGGTTTACAAAGGTTGCTTGACTAACGTTAATTCGTTATACAAACCATAAAGTACATATATGTGTTGGTCAGAAACTTTAATAATAATAATGATAATAATAATAATAATAATAATAATAATAATAAAGATCACTTACAGTAACTGTCTCTGAAATAACAAAAAGTATAAACTTCACTACTAATTCCATATAAGTAAATTCAATAGTATAATAATGAAAAATGAAATCCACACTGATTATTTTAAATAATAAATGTTTGCTTTCATAATCTTCGTATTTTAAATGATTATTAGTTAATTCATGATAGAATGTTACACGGAATTTATAAATGGTGAAATCAACTGGAATAAGATGAAATAGGAATAGTTCGTCACATTTCTGAAGAAAATAAAAAAAGAAACAGTACAAATATATAGAAATTACTGAGTTACTAATGGAATTCTGACGCCCTCCCGAAAAAAATGAATGGATTAAACCACGTCTAACTTGATAGTGCTCCTGGATATTGATTCAAAACGTTTACGGGATACATAAATTATTGGAATGACATTCCCCATAAAACAGTGATAATTTATTAAGGTTGAGTTGAGACTACCAGTGGGATTTAGGACACGGATTTCGTTCTATGTGGAGCTCACTAGTTAGATATACCTACATCCCAGTCTTGATATTCACACAACGAGACTCGACTCAGCTATCTTTCTCCCCAAACGCTAACATGTTATTCACTAAGCCCCAATTTATCTTCTTGAAAACTTCATTAATTTGCATTGTGTTTACACATAGAAATTATTGTTATACACTAAGAGTTCAACTATTATAAATAGATCTACCTAATAAACGACAAACACACTATGCACGATAATGATAATATATTGTTGTCAAATAAAGTTCAGAGCAAAGAAACTTGCAGGACAATACTGAAGAATAAATTGTCTAAATCAATAACATATACTTCATCTGTCTGAAGTCCGCTGAAAAGTTAGTAGGGACACGGGAGTATCAAATAAATATTAGTCGAAGCAGCCGCTTAGTGGCCAAGGTGTCTGACGTTCAGCCACTAAGCCCGGGGTTCGAACCCCGGCTCTGCCTACTTCCGTTTGAGTAACCAGGTAGTATCGCTATCCATTACACTTATAGTGTGGTTTATGTTTAAATACCTGACGAGTGAGATAATCTAATTTTTTTAATTTCAAATAAATGGTAGTTGAAAGTACAACAAAAGTTCACTAAAATTTTTCAGCCATCTTGAATAGCATTTGAGACATATTTATCCAAGTAAGCATATAACGGACAGATGCTACGAAATGATGTAAGGCTAGACAAGCTGTTTAACTGTCATAGTTTATGTAATTCGTATCAAAATAATGGGAAGTGACCAATAAATGATAAGCTAAACAAATAATTGTATATGTTATTTTGTTAGGCAATTATCAATAATTCAGTTTGGTGAGTGGCTATCACTCAGACATGTTGTATTACTATATACTACCAATTGATCAACGTATTTCATCCATTAATTTAATCATCCTCAAACATCTTTTCACTGTAAATCATAAAAGGCTAATTTATAACAAAGACCAAAACAAGTAAAAATAGATAGTGTAGTTGGCAATTAGAAAAGTTAGGGAATGCTTTAATGATTGAAGTACTTAACTTTTAGCCAGTAAGATCGAGTTTCATTCTCATTTCATAAGCTTTGATTTATAAAACTTAATAACGTTATTGTACTTGACGCTACGAGTGCGGCTAAAAGTTGATTATATTAACCTGCGCTTCGATAATGAATTACTTTGGTTTCAGTAATTATCTTAAGCATTTAATAAACACAAAAGTATATGAAGAGTGAACATATCTTCATCACTGGGAGAGATTCTGAACCTTGTCACGGAAGGCCTTTAATCATTAGTTCTCAGCATGTTGGGGACCTAACACAAGATACTTATATCTTATTATGGGACTCAGACTAATAGTTAACGATTTCAAAAACTAATAATGTGTGTTGACTTGGGTACTCTCCCATTATTACATTTTAACCATATAATGAAATCAAACAAAGGGTTCAATCATAATATGAAATAAATTAGACTATTGAAAATTATGAAACGACAAGTAATGGTTATATTTTGTGCAGTAGGACTTGAAATAAACACTTGTATTTGCAGCATTAAGCTTCAAGATGAAAATCTTGTGATCTAAGTTAACTGATTCTTTTCAAATGGATGATATTTTTTGCTATGACCCAGTAGTTTAAGGGCTGACATACCCAAATGTAAAACTTCATAAACTTGTGATCAGTTTTAAAACAGGTTATGAACCAGTGATATTGTTTAGTAGCACCTCATCTAGGAATAAACAAGGTAAATTTGGTGTCACCAGCAAAAAGAAAACACGGTTTTCAGAGGTTATCAACCAGATTATGGTGATTTCTGAACAGGAAGCTTAAATAGCATGTTTAATATCAATTCAGTAACAAAAAGACAGTTTTATAAACATATCTTCCAACAACAGATCACTAGAAAAAACTCGAAGAGGAAGTATGATCACGTCATTGTTACGAAGTAACGGAGACTTAAATAAACAATCGAATATTTTAAGCATAAAAAATAAATTGTTCAACTTACTGTATCGGGACAATTCACTTGAATAGTCCGGTTGTGAATTGGACCCATTTGGATTACAGAAGTTTTATAATTCGGATCTGATTTAAACATTGCACTTCTACTTCCAGCAATAGCTAGATGGGGTATCTGTACTTGAATAGACGTATTGATATTTACTGATACTTTGGCATTTTCTTCATAAATGGAAAGTATTTATTGATGAATTTTTTGAAGAATTAGTTAGTTCGTGGAAATGTGGGGAATAAAAGCATAGTTACATAAATTTTTAACCAAAAAATCACTAACTAATGTCATTATGAGAAAGAGTTTGGATGATTCCATTGTTGATACTCTTGACCGGATTCTGATTAGCCTGTTGACATAATTCAAGCCCTTTCTAATAACAATGACACAAATGTCAAACTTTTTGTGCAAGTGAATGGCTATTTAGACTTAGAAACTAAGCGGATAACTCGTTGGGTGTTTGAAGCAGAGGAGCGGTTTCGAGTCCCCGTTTGAACACCAGTGGTGGGATACAGGTATATACGGTTGACGAGCCCCGAATACGGCGACCCATGCTTCCTGCATTACAATACTAGCCACGTTCCACCCCATATAGAGTACTGAATAACTGCAAGTTTAGACTTACACCTATTTGAACTACATTACAGCTTCTGACATACAAATGTAATGTAACTAGACAACTAATCAGTTTTATGTGTCCTGGTTTGGAACACAAACTATAGAAAACGAAACGAGGTCTGAACCCGTAGCTCAACGGTGGTTGACAGCAAAATAGGATAGCCGCTAAACTACAAATGTATAGGTACTAAGTTCAAACGACCAGGACGCAAGTCTAATAAGCTACTGTGTTGCTGAAATCCATGAACTATGCTAAATTGTTTTCTAGGTAAAATAACAATTCCTGCATCAATTAGTTAACACTACATATCTCGTTTTGAACGATTTTTTAAAGATTCGTTTTTCTATTTTATCTAAATATACTTTATCAAACAACTTGGAAATGGGATCAAAAACCATTTAGATTAATAACCAAAGAATAACACAAAATATGGTTCGTTATGAAATAAAATACAGAAAACAACTAATAAAAAGGATTACAAATCACATACGTTCTAACGGCGCACGATTAATTATAGCAGATAACCACAGCTCACGATGAAAAACTGAAAGAGATGGAGAATCTACCTCGTATACACTAGCTTCTAAACTAGTTATACTTGGACGATTCGAAGTGGAAACAATAACGGAATTTGAGACATTGGGGCCTTTAATGAGTAAATTTTAAAATAATTGTAGCATACCAACTACACCAAAAATTACAGAACATCCAATAATTAGGAAGAATATAACTGTGACAACGACAAAATAACATTTTTTCATTGTATACAAACGCATTGGGACAGATCTGGAAATGAATAAATAGACTAATGAGTACAAGTTACAATATCACTCAATCTAACGGTAAATATACAGTAGTAATCCATTATCACTAATTTATATATTCACTAGGTAAGCAGTAATTGAAAATTATTATTTATTTATTTATTTTAACACATAGATATTGGTACAAGGAGGCACCAAATACATATGCGCCACACGAATCTCAATTGATTTGTGTGAGGGCTGTGATACTGCCCGGGTGCCCAAACCGAAGCAGGAGGTGCCCAAACCGAAGCAGGAAAATAGTCACAATAAAAATCGACTGAACGACGACCTTAGAGAAATAACCTATTAAACTACAATTCCGTGACTAGACCAAGATGTCTGCGTGACTATCGCAACCAATGTTTGCAAACTCATGGTGACATGGCTCAGAATCGATCACAATGGCGTATGTGTATGCACTCTCTGACTTCCCTTAAACTATGAGATTAAAATCGCTTCATCTTTCCACATACTAATTCTTTCTTCCTGTACTATATCCTTACATGCAATCTCATATATATATATATATATATATATATATATATATATATATATATATATACCATTGAATTAACTAATTCTATGAATCCGGTGTTCATCTTGATGTACTAATGAGGTATGGCAACTTGGACCGATGCATATGTGCCTGTTCCTACGTTGTAGCTGACTGAAACCAAAAAGCTTGTATGATATGTACGTATTTGCAGTCGCATAAAATCACTACTTCAAAATTTCGTAAGTTTATTCTAGCCAGTTTTATAAATTAGGACACTCCGTTAAAGTGAATGCTAAAAAATATCCCATCATAACTGTCGAACAGACCATGATAGATGTTTAGGAAATAAGCGGCTAGGGAATTTGAGAAGCTATCAGACAAAGTTAAAAAACACACTCGTGGTGAATTTTTTATTGTATGCACGCTATAAAAGAAATGAATTGTAATGCATACATACAAGTTAGACTGAATTCCACATGTTTTTTATATTCAAACGACCACATAGTAGTTAACCCTTGTTTCGTATATTTATGTACTCCAGGAGTGTACCAAAGTTTTTGTTTTAGGATAAAATAAATGTAATTAGGGAACGTTACCGTTCTGCCTGTAGCGGAAATCCCCAAAGCTCACCTAAAGCTAATGTGATCTAAGTAATTTAAAGTTGAGTGGCAGGTGCACGTAACTGTCTGAATTAGAGCAAAGATTTATCTGTACCTGTTATTTTAGAGACAAACTTTGCTATTTGTGGTAGAAAAAGTGGGAAACTATGTTGGGAATATCGCAAGTACTTATTCAGATATATTTAAGATAGCACTTCTTTGAAGGTACCAAATGCCCCATCCGAGTTGTGATGCACATCACAACGACATAAAGTAGGGAAATCCGCATTATTTCCTCCTGACATGCGAAAAAACAGACATTTAGACGCGTTTCCCCATTATTTTCCCTTTCTTTTTCGGCGTATCTCCACCCTTGTTGATCGCTTGAGGTAACTAAAATTATTCTAATCCAGCAAAAATATTGTTTATTTCATGCAGAAAAAACTAACTTATTCACGGCAAGTAATATTACTAGCCTATATAGGCACGCCATTTACTTTAAGGGAGAACAGTTTGGACAATTGTTAAGTAAAAATAATAGTTGCCAAATGAAAATAAAAAGGACTTGGCAAAAACTTACGTCCCAAGATCTCGTTGCAAAAACATGGTTACTAGTAACTAAGATTACAATTCGGCTAAATGTTTCTTATAGTAACGCACACCTCCGAAAATGATACACGCTTATCACTAAACAATAACTAAAATATTTGTCACAGTTATGAATGGAACCATTGACTTTTTACGCTCACTTGTTGTTATCTCGTAACGGTTTCAGGAGTGTGGTAATATCTATAGAGGCTATTACTGTTATTCAGGCGCGATATTCAAAAAGGACAGTGGTATTTTTCCTCGCTGAGTAAATTCTATTGTTTTGATCGTTTATTACGTATCAAAACTACTCTTTTCACTTTAATTGAGTTTCTTTCAGTTAAAGTATTCGATTAGATTATCGTTTTTGTTTCTAAAGTAATTTGTTGTCAGTACTTTTGAGTACTCTGTTTTTTTTATAGTATCTGTTAGTACTTTTGGTTCTAACGATCCACAGTTTTCCACTTTTTTGGGTCATAGATTATTTTTTGTCCCTGATTATTTTTGCATCTAGTTCTTTCTAAAAAACCCGTGTTTAAATGACTGGACAGTGCAAAAAAAGTAATTGCCATCGCCTGGGTTGTCGTTATCCTGTTGAAAGCGGCATGCATGAGTGCAAAGGATGGTACCACGAAGTTTGCACAAATCTAACGCCTGCAGCTTTCAAACGGTTCATTGGGAATGGTTGTGTATGGCTCTGTCAACAGTGCTGTTCGGATGCTAACAGCTCGCTAACCGAGGCCATCTCATTGGTTAGTGCTGCTAAAAAATGTTTTCGCAAGAGTGATCGCGACACATCATCAAGTACTCGCTCCGTTGACACCCGAATTGGCGTGAGGCAAACTGAAGTGAGTTCGAAAACAGATGACTCGCACCGATCAATGGAGGGAGAACAGCCCCCAAAGAGTTCTGTCCGCACAAAAAACTCAAGGAAAAAAGTTTCTTCTGTCCCACGTTTTCGAAATGGTATTCAGAAAGAAACACATAGAAGCCGCAACCGCAGGGCTTGATCAGTTTCTAAAGAGACACCAAACCTGACCTCCCAAGTCGTCGAAAACCCTCCGGAATCCCACAGTATGTTTGACGCGACTGTGGTTGCTTCTCCGAGCAATGTTGACGAATGGGTACAGGTTGTGAGGAAGAAACAGAAGAACGATATAAAAGGGAACCCTTCCCCCACAAAAAGTAGTCGAAAAATCGAAGGCTGATCACAGTAACAGATTAGTCCTTTTTTATAGGATAAAGGAGAGCGAAAGCTCCGAACCAAAAACTCGTTTTGAGCATGACATTGTCCTGATAAAACAGCTAATTAATCAACTCGTGCCTCAAAATATCTCCGGAGTCACCTTGCTAAAGGTGTATAGACTAGGTAGTTTAGCGAACTTGAAGCCTAATAAGTCTAGACTGCCTAAAGTAGTTTTCAAATCTTCGAATGAAAGTGACTTAATTTTACAGAATGGACATAAATTAAAGGGTTCGGGAGTTTTTATCCGAAAGGACTTGCCGTTGGCAGACCGTGTAAAAAGACGGCAAGCCAAAAAAGAACTACAAATTAGGTTAGACGCTGGCGAAAAGGACCTGAAAATTGTAAATTTTCGGGTTGTGAGGCTTCGTCAGAAAATGATGCCGAAGCGTCTCTGGATGAAGCACGACGCCACTTAAATAGGCTTCGGATCTGTTACACAAATGCCCGAAGCTTGCTCAATAATCTATCGGAACTAGGTGAACAGATTGGTTATGCAGAGCCAGACGTAATCGCAGTCACAGAAACCTGGCTGACACAGTCTATAGATAATATTGAACTCGATTTTGAGGGTTTTACTTTAGTAAGAACCGATAGAATACATAAGCGTAAAGGAGGAGGGGTAGCTCTATTCATTAGGAATGCTATCCCGTTTGTCATTAATGATAGTGTATCGCATGATAGTGGGACGTGTGAATTGGTTAGTTGCCGCTTGAAATTCAAGGGGCAAGAGCTGATAATTGGTTTGGTCTATCGCAGTCCAAGCTGTGAGGTAAATGATGTCCTGTTAAACAGGCTCAAAAATTGGTCGCGAAGTGGTCGATGTCTAATCCTAGGGGACTTTAATGCACCTATGGTAGACTGGGGAAATCTGCGAACCGAATCATCAGATAATTCCTTCGAGCAGGAACTAGTTGATGCGGTTATAACATGTGCCCTAGTGCAACATGTGAAAGAAGCGACTAGGTACGACCCGGACACTGAATCATCTTTACTAGATCTTATATTAACTCACTATGAGGATGACGTTGCGAACCTCCATTACATGCCACCCCTAGGCAAAAGTGATCATGCAGTTTTAACTTTTGACTTCCATATAACTGTCAATCACGAGCAAGCGTCAACTCAATCCAGACCTAACGTCTGGAAAGCAAGCATACCAGATATCATGCACTCGGCACCACTAGTAGATTGGACAATAAACCCAGAGTCCTCAATTGAAACGGCTTGGGATGCATTCCGAAATTTGTACTTAAAAGTTACCGCACCCCACATTCCTTGGACTATACCAAGGAAGCCGAGAAACTCCCCACCATGATTCATTAGGGAGGTCCGCATCCTTCTCCGTAAGAGAAGAAAGATGTGGGATAGATTTAGGTTACTGAGGACTGGTGAGACAAAATCTCAGTACCGAAAAGCTAGGAATACCTGTGCCTCGACCCTCCGTAGGTCTAGAAAGCTGTACGAAGAAAAAATTGTTAAGGAATCCATAGAATGTCCTAAATGCCTGTATTCCTATATAAACCAAAGGACAAAAAGAAGAGGAATTATTCCTGCACTATGGGGAGACAGTACTGCCGCATCATTAGTGTAAGATGACTTTGGTAAGGCTCAAGTGTTCTCAAACTACTTTAGCAATGTATATACCATAGAAGCACCCTTCCCGTCAGCGCTTACAACCCCCCCCACACACACATACACTGGATAGCGTGACCATAAATAAACTCGATGTCTTTGATCTGCTAAATAAGCTTGACATAGGTAAATCCATGGTGTCCGATGAATTGCATCCTAGGCTACTAAAGGAATTATCTAACTTCGTTGCGAACCCTTTAAGTACATGCTTTAAGCTATCCGTTACGCAGGGTTGTTTACCAAAAGACTGGAAGAACGCCATAGTAAGTCCTGTCTTCAAAACAGGTACGAAACATAAACCTGAAAATTACCGACCCGTCAGCCTAACTAGTGTGGTAGTTAAAATCTTAGAATTGGTTATTCGGAAAGAGCTGTTTACATACCTCTATGTAAACCGAATCCTCTCGGAGAAACAGCACGGTTTCAGAATAGGTTATTCTTGTCTCACTGACTTATTAGTCACTCGAGAAAGCTGGTGCGCTTTTGAGGACCAAACGTTACCTGTAGACGTGGCTTACATTGATTTCAGCAAAGCTTTTGACAAGGTTCCGCACAACCGGCTGTTATATAAGCTAAAAAATGTCGGAATTGGAGGCAATCTATTGACGTGGATAGAAGACTTCCTTGTTGGGCGCCAACAAAGAGTACGGGTAAACTCAAAATTGTCTAGCTGGGAAACTGTGCTTAGTGGAGTGCCCCAGGGTACAGTTTTGGGGTCAGTGCTATTCCTCTTGTATGTAAATGACCTTCCTCGCTTACTATCATCATCAGTCTTGCTATATGCTGACGAGGTCAAGATATGGAGAACGATACGATGTAAGCATGATAGCTTAGAACTCCGAAATGACCTGGAGAAATTATCCGAATGGTCTCATACATGGCAGCTGCTGATAAATACTTCCAAGTGTGTTGTGATGCATATCGGTCATCAAGGTTCAGATACATACACGATGAATAACACTGAGCTACCTGTTGTCCAGACACATAATGACTTAGGAGTCATCGTTAGCCAAGATCTGAAGACTACTGCACACTGCCGAGCAATAGCCGCCAGAGCGTTTAGAACTTTATGGTCAACACGCAGGGCTTTTACTCATGTCGACGCTCAAACGTTTTTGACTTTGTATACAGTGTTTGTACGTCCTAAACTTGAGTACTGCATACAAGCGGCTGGCGCCTGCTTAGAAAAAGACAGTGAGCTTTTGGAAAAGGTCCAGGGAACAACAACTAAGCTGATTCCCGTAATAGCGAAGCTTCCGTATGATTCTCGACTGGCCAAGCTAAACCTATTCCCTTTGTCACATCGTAGAACTAGAGGCGACTTGATTACAGTTTTCAAATTGCTTAGTGATAAATTTGCACCTGATATGGCCTCATCTTTCCTGTCTTCCAAAACAGAGAATTTACGAGGACACTCCAAAAAAGTTCACAAGCCCAGAACAAATTACTTGTCAGCTGATTATTGACTTTCCCACCGAATCATCAACGAGTGGAATTCATTACCTCAACACGTGGTTGAAGCTCCATCCGTAGATTCTTTCAAAAGAAAGTTGGATCAACTGAGAGAACACAATTACCAGGACTAACACAAGCCATCAAGCCTCCTGTCCTTTGCAAACTGAAACTGATCTGGACCGACCAATTTACCCATTCTAACCAAGCCATATTTTTACCCTGTCATTTATTCGCTTATTGGCCCTGACTGTTTTTTGTGTGATCGTATGCGTGTGCATTACTTATCTTACTCATGACACGTCTGTGACTTATTTTTGTTTTGGTTATAAATGTCGATTCACACTTGGTTAAATTGTGCTGTCTCACTCTCCCTTTACGTTGCGCCTCGGTTTTTTGCATTGTTTTACGATAAATGATTGCACAAAATACAAGTGTTGAAAAATTCAACCTTTTATTTGAATTACTTAATCTCGTTAGTCACTGATGCGACTTGATTCGGCGATTATATACGTGGGTTGCGGACATGTATATTTCAATAACAATCATTCAAACAATCTAACCGGGCCACAAGAATGCTGAGTCCTCCACAGATGAATCTAACGCATTAACCTACGTCGATGATAAAACTCTCGCACTCCGTATTTTCAATGAACGGACTCAACGTAGCTTACTCAGCCAGCAACCTCGTCGATAATATCATATCACTACTAAAGTGGTAATCTCGATTTCGAAATAAACTCATCTTGCAAATCTACGCAA